CCAAAACCAGCCCAGCTTGTCCCCGCCTCCCTAACCTGTCCTTCCTCCCACTTATCCCCTCCTCCCACCTCAAGCCCCACTCCCATCTCCTATCTACCAGCCTCATCCCGCCCTCTTGACCTGTCCATCCTCCCTGGGCTGACCTATCCTCGCCTAACTCCCCACCTACACTCACCTTACTGGCTCCATCCCTGCCTCTTTGACCAGTCTGTCTCCTCTCCATCTATCTTCTCCTTTATCCATCTTCTATCCGCCTCCCCCTCTCTCCCTATTTATTTCAGAATCCCCTTCCCCTCCCCATTTCTGAAGAAGGTCTCGACCCGAAACGTCAGCTTTCCTGCTCCTCTGATGCTGCTTGGCCTGCTGTGTTCATCCAGCTCTACACCTTGTTGTCATAGGATGTATTTACATTTGGAAGAAAATGGGCTTATTAGTGATAGGCAGCATGGTTTTGTGCAGGGAAGGTCATGTCTTACCAACTTGATAGAATTCTTTGAGGAAGTGACAAAGTTGATAGATGAGGGAAGGACTGTCGATGTCACATACATGGACTTCAGTAAGGCGTTTGATAAGGTTCCCCATGGTAGGCTGATGGAGAACGTGAAGTCGCATGGGGTCCAGGGTGTACTAGCTAGATGGATGGAGAACTGGCTGGGCAACAGGAGACAGAGAGTTGTAGTGGAAGGGAGATTCTCAAAATGGAGAACTGTGACCAGTGGTGTTCCACAGGGATCTGTGTTGGGACCACTGTTGTTTGTGATATACATAAATGATCTGGAGGAAGGTATAGATGGTCTGATTAGCAAGTTTGCAGATGACACTAAGATTGGTGGAGTAGCAGATAGTGAAGGGGACTGTCGGTGAATGCAGCAGAATATAGATAGATCGGAGAGTTGGGCGGAGAAATGGCAGATGGAGTTCAATCCAGGCAAATGCGAGGTGATGCATTTTGGAAGATCCAATTCAAGAGCGAACTATACGGTAAATGGAAAAGCCCTGGGAAAATTGATGCACAGAGAGATCTGGGTATTCAGGTCCATTGTACCCTGAAGGTGGCAACGCAGGTCGATAGAGTGGTCAAGAAGGCATACAGCATGCTTTCATTCGTCGGACGGGGTATTGAGTACAAGATTTGGCAGGTCATGTTACAGTTGTATAGGACTTTGGTTCGACCACATTTGAAATACTGTGTACGGTTCTGGTCGCCACATTACCAAATGGATGTGGATGCTTTGGAGAGGGTGCAGAGGAGGTTCACCAGGATGTTGTCTGGTATGGAGGGCGCTAGCTATGAAGAGAGGTTGAGTAGATTAGGATTATTTACATTAGAAAGACGTAGGTTGAGGGGGGACCTGATTGAGGTCTAAAAAATCATGAGAGGTATAGACAGGGTGGATAGCAAGAAGCTTTTTCCCCAGAGTGGGGGACTCAATTACGAGGTGTCACGATTTCAAGGTGAGAGGGGAAAAGTTTAAGGGAGATATGCGTGGAGAGTTCTTTACGCAGAGGGTGGTGGGTGCCTGGAACGCTTTGCCAGCAGAGGTGGTAGAGGCGGGCACTAGACAGATACATGAATGGGCAGGGAGCAGAGGGATACAGATCCTTAGAAAATAGGCGACAAGTTTAGAAAGAGGATCGGGATCAGCGCAGGCTTGGAGGGCCGAAGGGCCTGTTCCTGTGCTGTAATTTTCTTTGTTCTTTGTTCTGAGAGGTCTGAAGGTGGATCCATTACCTCGACCAGATGGACTTCAGCCAAGGTTCTGAAGGACTTAGCTGAGATGGCTGTGGAGGCATTGGTGGTGAACTTTCAGAAATCACTGGAGGCGGGGATGGTCCCAGAGGAGTAACAAATGTAACAGAGATGGTAAGAACTGCCAATGCTGGGGTCTGAGATAACACAGTGTGGGGCTGGAGGAACAGCATGCCAAGCAGCAGCAGAGGAGCAGGAAAGTTGACGTTTCGGGTCGGGACCCTTCTTCAGAAATGGGGAAGGGGAAGAGAGCTCAGAAATAAATAGAGGAGGGGTGGGGCTGGAGAAGATAAGTGAGATGGTGATAGGTGAGTGCAGGTAGGGAGTGGTGGGGATTGGTCACTGAGGTGGGAGGGCCGGGTAGGTGGGACAGAAGATGGACAGGTTGTGTCAGGTCAAGGAGGCGGGGATGAGATGCCTTTTTAAGAAGGGAGGGAGAAGATTGGAAATTAAAGGCCAGTTGGGCTGACCTGGGTTGTTGATAAGATTTTAGAGTTCATTATTATGGATGAGTTTGCTGAGTGTTTGAAAGTACATGGTAAAATAGGCCTAAATCAGCATAGTTTCATCATGGGGAGGTCATGCCTGACAAAATTTGATTTCCAGAAGGCCTCTGACTAGGTGATGCACAGGATGCTGTTAAATAAGGTAACAGCCCACTATGTTAGGGGCAAGGTGCTGGCATGGATAAAAGATTGCCTACAGGCTGAAGGCCAAGAGTGGGGATACAGCAGTTTTTTCTGGGTGGCAACTGGTGACTAGTGGCATTCAGTGAAGGTCAGTGTTGGGAAAACAAATATTCAGGTTTACATTAATGTCTGGACAAAGGAACTTGAGGGCATTGTTGCTAAACTTGCAGATGACACAAAGATAGATGGAGGGGCAGGTAGTGTTGAGGATGCGGAGAGGCTGGGAGAGTGGGCAAGGAAGTGGCAGATTGAATACAATGTGTGAATACACTGAGGTTATATACTTTGGTAAGAAGAATAGGGATGTAGACTACTTTCTAAATGGGGAAAGGCTTCAGAAATCTGAAGTGCAGAGGGACTGAGGAGTCTTAGTTCAGGATTGTCTAAAGGTTAATATGCAGGTTCAGTTGGCAGTTAGGAAAGCAAATGCAGTGTTAGCACCCATTTTGAGACAGCTAGAATACAAGAGCAGAGATGTACTGCTGAGGCTTTATAAGGCACTGGTCAGATTGCATTTGGAATATTGTGAGCAGTTTTGGGCCCCACATCTGAGGAAGAATATGTTGGCATTGGAAGGATCCAGAGAAGGTTCACAAGAATGATCCTGGGGATGAAGGGTTTGTAATATAAGGAAAGGTGGATGACTCTGGGTTTGACCTTGATGGAGTTTAGAAGGATGACCTGGTGTCTCACTGAACATAGAATACAGAACATAGAAGAGTACAGTACAGTGCAGGCCCTTCGGCCCACGATGTTGTGCTGAACTTTTACCCGAAACCTAAGGTCTATCTAACCTCCACCCCTACCTTATACTATCATCCATATGCCTATCTAATAGCCTCTTAAATGCCCCGAATGAAGCCGACTCCACTACCCTCTCTGGCAATGCATTCCACGCCCCTAACACTCTCTGAGTAAAGAACCTACCTCTGACGTCTCCCCTAACTCTAACTCCACTCACTTTAAAACTATGCCCCCTCGTAAAAGCTACCTCCACCCTGGGAAAAAGTCTCTGGCTATACACTCAATCTATATCTCTGATCATTCTGTACACCTCTATCAAGTCACGTCTCATCCTTTGTCGTTTTAAAGAGAAAAGCCCTAGCTCTCTCAACCTTTCCCGTAAGACCTTCCCTCCATTCCAGGCAACATCCTGGTAAATCTCCTCTGCACCTTTTCCAACACTTCCACATCTTTCCTGTAATGAGGCGACCAGAAATGGACACAATACTCCAGATGTGGCCAAACCAGGATTTCATACAGCTGGAGCATAACTTCATGGCTCTTGAACTCAATCCCTCTATTAATGAAAGCTAACACACCATACGCCTTCTTAACAACTCTATCCACTTCAGTGGCAGCTTTCAGGGAACTGTGGACATGAACCCCAAGATCCCTCTGCTCCTCCACACTGCCAAGAATCTTTCCGTTAATCATGTATTTTGCCAACAAATTTGTCCTTCCAAAATGAATCACCTCACACTTTTCAGGGTTAAACTCCATCTGCCACTTCTCAGCCCAGCTCTGCATCCTATCAATGTCCCTTTGTAACCTAGAACAGCCCTCCGCACTATCCACAACTCGACCCACCTTCGTATCGTCCACGAACTTGCTAATCCACCCTTCCACTCCTTCATCCAAATCAGTTACAAAAATCACAAATAGAAGAGGACCCAGAACAGATCCTTGTGGTACACCACTCGTAACTGAGCACCATGTTGAATATTTTCCTTCCACTACCACCCTTTGTCTTCTAAGGGTCAGCCAATTCTGAATACAATCTGCCACATTTCCCCTATCCCATGCCTCCTTAATTTCTGCATGAGCCTATCAAGGGGAACCTTAGCAAATGCCTTACTTAAATCCATGTATACCACATCCACTGCTCTACCTTCATCCACTTTTTTGGTCACCTCTTCAAAGAATCCAATGAGGTTTGTGAGGCATGATCTACCCCTCACAAATCCATGCTGACTATCACAAATCAAACTGTGCCCATCCAAGTGATCATAAATCCTATCTCTCAGAGCCCTTTCCAATAATGTGCCTACCACTGAAGTAAGGGTGAAGTAAGAAACTTACAGAATACTGAGAGGCCTGGACACAGTCAACATGGAGAAGTTTTCACTAGTGGGAGAAACTAAGACTCAAGAGCACAGTGAGGGAATGACCCATTAGAATTGAGATCAGGAGGAATTTCTTCAGTCACAGGGTGGCAGGTCTGTGGAGCTCATTATCGCAGAAGTTATTGAGTGTATTTAAGAAAGATAAATAGGTATCAAAAGAAAATGGGTAATTTAAGTAACATTTTACATCAAAGAGAATTGTCGAATTGATCACAACAGGGTAAGGGAAGGATGGATGAATTTTTGTAAGGAGAGGAATACTGGGGTTCAGTTCCAGAAACTCCGTCAGGGTTGGGCACATTGCTCAAATTTCCAATTGAGCATTGCTGGGCTCCTGGAAGTTTTCAAACTGTAATTTCAGGCACTGTTGCTAATTCTTCACTCTCTAGTCTCCCTCATTCCAACGGACCAATCTATTACCTGCTTTAAACTCACCTTTTCGTTGTCTTTGTAATCCAGCTGCAGAGAATGATGACCCATGCAGATCACAGTTACTATGAAGTAAAGAAGTGCAAAGATACTGTGTAACCACAGCAGTCGATCACTGGAAAACAAGTGTAATCACAACATGAGAGAAGGAATCAGAATGTGGCTCTGAGGAGGATTGGTATACAGAAGAGTGGCCTGAAGGACTGGGCAGAGGATGGGGTTCAGGTGTGGACATGGTATTTGGGGTGCAGGGTCCAGTGGGCAGGGAGGAGGAAGAGCAGAGAGGATGGTAACAAGATTGGAACAGATTAACGGGCACTGGGTAGAGGAGGGGAGGAAGGGGTGGACAAATCAGATGGTGGTCAGATCTGTGGCCCACCACCAGCCAGTGTTCACTCACTCTGCAGGGACATTTGCAATGGTGGTGCGGCCAAAATGTTGCGGGCTGTTACCTGAAAGGCAAAGAGTCATTAGTCAGTGATGGCTCCACATTGGTCTTAAATACAGTGTTGAATCATCTCTATGTACAGACAACGCTGAATATCAGTAACTACTGGTGACAACAGCATCACTCAGCACTTCTAACCCAAGTCCAGACTCCCCTTGCCCAACTACCCTTCCCCAGCCTGTGCTACTCCCCTCCCCTAACTCACTGCACCTTTGTCTAAAGATTCCCCTGCCTTAGCTCTGGATTCTCCTATCTGTCCTCATCCTCTACCTGAACTAAAGCTTGTCCACCTCTCGTTCCTTTGACTCTATTCCCACTAAACGACACCAGACTGCCCCAATATTTCTCTATCATGTAACTGGCTGGGATTGTACTTGTCTGATCCCGCTTTCATCTATACAACCATATACACAGTTTACACATTTTTCTTCCTGCTGTTACACCATTAGCACTGGTCTCCCAAAGGATTAATCCTTGGCCCCCTCTTATTTCTCACTCACATGCTTCCGTTTGGAGATATCAAGCAAAACATAGGTCTGACATTTCATTATCCAGGACAGGGTCACCACCTTAGCCAAATGGTACTGGAGACCTGATTCTTAAAGCCCTGCCTCTAAGCCTGTTACCAAGTTTTTATATCCATGGTCTGCGGTGGCAGATGCACATGCTAAAGTGGTGCCGTCTTCAGGAAGATCCAATTTTCATTACTGGATATCAAACTGTGGCCTGTGGGCTGCACATTTTTCAGATGAAGGTCTAAAGCTGCCAGAGATATTAATTAGAGTCAGGTCACCATTTATATAGCCCAGGAATACCTTTGGGAAAAGTAACATGCCCTTTGGGATTGTTAAAAGCAAATATGAACATGCATAAGAGGAACATGCGTAAGCTTAATTCACCTGCCCTCTAACATTTTGAAAATAACAACCTGCAATGTAATATAAAAGTCAGTGCTCATAGAACAGTGGCTGTCAGTTCATATTTTAATTGACACCTCTTAATACTTATAAAGTCTTTCAAGTGGGCAAATGAATACAAATTGTAACCCCCTTCCCATCCCCCATTTCTGATGAAGGGTCTAGGCCTGAAACGTCAGCCTTCCTGCTCTTATGATGCTGCTTGGCCTGCTGTGTTCATCCAGCTCTACACCTTGTTATCTCAGATGAATACAAATGCTCATTTTTATAACGGCTTAAGCACCTGAATGAATGAAAAGGGAGTGAACAATTTTTTTCATGAGTGTAATCAGGAACAAATACTTAGAACTTTATTTCACATTAGCACAGGCCCTGATGTCAGTACATGGGTGGATACTGTGTGAGCTGGCATTGATGGTGTAAAGCAAGGATGGTTGATGGTATGCAGAGGAAGGCCAGAGTTTGCACCAACTTAGCTTAGGGGCTATAAATTGGCATAGGGTGGGCAAAGGGGCATTGGTTAGTTGGTGGATAACCAAAACAGAATTGCTGGAGAAACTCAGTAGGTCTGGCAGCATCTGTGGGAAGAAAGCAGAGTTAACATTTCAATTCTGGTGATTCTTCATCAGAATTGTTCTGAGTTTCTCCAGCAGCTTCTAAATTTGTTTCAGATCTCCAGCATCAGCAATTCATTGTTTGATGAGGTATGAGGCCAAGGGAGGGATCAGTGCTGGCCATAGGTTGGTGTGGACAGTGCGAGGGGTCATGGAGGGCATGGTGAGGGAATGGATAGTGCATAGGAGGAACTGAGGGGATGCGAAGGGTGAGGGCTGGAGGAATGGCTTTTGTTTTAGTTCTTTTAATGGTAGTTCACAGCCTGCCTCCTCACCTAGCAGCTCTTTTGGTTGCCACCAAATCTTTCCTGGGGTTAGAAGGTCCAAATCCAGTTATGCAACTCCAACAGAACAAAATTCCAACTGTCGGAGTATTTTCCTCCAAGTCGAGTTTACAGACCTGTTAATTATATCAACTCTGCACTCCTGTCTCAGGAATGTAAAATCAGGCCACATTATCTATTTCACATGTCTGCTGACAACACCCAGGTCTACCTCACCAGCACCTTTCTCAATCCCTCCATTTCTCTAAATGAGATGGTTTGTCTGACATCCAGGACTAAATGAATAGAAACTTCCTCCAATGATATATTGGGATGACCGAGTCTATAGGTTGAATATTACCTTTCTTGACTATGGTCGAATTGAGTTGGACTTTTTAGGGGGTTAGTCACCATAAGGCCTACTGAGTTCACTTACTGTATCTAATTAATTACTTACCCTGTCTCAATGGCATCCCTCATGTTCGATTTCAGCCCCCATCTTACCAAATACATTCTGTGAACAACTCACTACTCAGTGAGTATCCTTCTGCCCATGCTTTCTTTAAAAGCCCATTGTGCACCCAAGTGAAAACTGTCAGTCCAGAGCTGCCCTGCATGGTTCTTCATATTTGCCCCAAAGAAAGCAGACAGGGAACATTTGCAGGCAGGGTCTTGCTGGACATAAAACATAGAAAATAGAGGCATTCAGCCTTTCAGCCCACTCCACCATTCAGTATAAAAACTAAATGAACTGTGGATGCTGTGAATCAGAAACACAAACAGAAGTTGCTAGAAAAGATCAGCAGGTCTGGCAGCATCTGTGAAGAAAAGTCAGAGTTAACGTTTCGCGTCCGGTGACCCTTCCTCACCATTCAGTATGATCATGGCTGATCATCTAACACATTAGTCTGTTCCCCCTTTTCCCCCATATCCTTTGATCCCTTTAGCTCCAAGTGCTACACCCAAGTCCTTCTTCAAATCATACAATGTTTTTGGCTCAAATGCACTCTGTGGTACCATATTCCCTAGGCTCACCACTTTGTGTGTAAAGAAATTTCTCCAAATCGCAGTCCGAAGATTGGTTTACTCAATATTCATAGACATCGGCACCTGGTTCTGGAGTCACCAGCCATCAGGAGAATTCTTCCAGTCTAGTCCTGTTCATATTTTATGAGTTTCTATGAGATCCCCCCTCATTCATCTGAATTCCAGTGAATATAGTTCAAGGCGTTTCAACCTCTCCTCATACATCAGTCCTGCCATTCCAGGAATCAGTTCAGTAAACCTTCACTGCACTCCCTCCAAAGCAAGAACATCCTTCCTCAGATAAAGAGACCAAAGCTGTACACAATATTCCAGGTGTGGTTTCATCAAGACCCTGCTCTTGTACTTAAATCCTCTTGTTATAAAGACCAACATTTCATTTACCGTCTTCATCATTTGCTGCACCAACACGCTTACTTTCAATGACTGGTATACAAGGACACTTGGGTATGATTACACATTTCCCTCTCTCAATTTGTAGTCATTCAGGTAATAAACTGCCTTGCTACCAAAGTGAATGACCTCACATCTGTCCACATTAAACTGCAATTGCCATGCATTTGCCCACATACTCAGCTTGTCCAAATCACAGTGACACTTCTCTTCATCTTCCTCACAGTTTACCCACCAACACAGTTTTGTGGTCATCTGCAAACTTGGAGCTACTACATTTATTTCTCTCATTTAAATCATTAGTATACATTATGAATAGCTGGAGTCCTAGCACTGATCCCTTTGGTACCCACTAGTAACTGCCTGACATTTAGAAAATGGTCTTTATCTTTATCTGAGAAAGGGCGTTCTTGTTGTAAAGGGAGTGAGGTGAAGATTTACCAAACTTTATTCCTACTCTTTGTTAAGTGTCGGCCAACCAGTTTTCTGTTCATCTCAATACATTACCTCCAATTGCATGTGCTTTAATTTTACCTGGTAATCTCTTATTTTGACTTTGTCAAAAGCCTTCTGAAAATCCATGAAGAATTCCAGTAGATTCCACTTTCCACTTTCCTGCCCGCTCTCCATAACCCTTCAACCCAATACTAATTAAAAATCTACATCCTCCTTAAATTTACTCAATGTCCCAACATGCACTCCACTCTGGGGTAGTGAATTCCGCAGATTTGTGACCCTTTGAGAGAAGTAGTTTCTCCTTATCTCTATTTTAAATCTGCTACCCTTATCCTAAAACTATGATGTCTCATTCTAGATTGTCCCACATGAGGAAATATCCTTTCTACATCTACTTTGGCAATCCCTTTTAATATCTTATATACTTTACCCAAAAGGTTATGAATCCTGGGAATTCCCCACCCAGTGAAGTAGGTGGGGCTTTCTCATTGAATGTTTTTAAAGCTAAGATCGATAATTTTTTGAACAGTAAAGGAATTAAGGTTATGGTGAGAGTGTGGTTAAGTGGAAATGAGGCCATGAAGAGATCGCCCATGATTTTATTGAATGGCAGAGCGGGCTCGAAGGGCCAGAGGGCCTACTCCTGCTTCTGGTTCTTATATTCTTATGTTCAATTTGATTTCCTCTCATTCGACAACACTCCAGGGAATAACGGCTTAAATTGATCAATCTCTCTTCATAAAACAAACCCCTCATTTCTGGAATCAATCTAGCAAACTTCCTCTCAATTGCCTCAAACACAAATACATCTCTCCTCAAGTAAGGGACCAAAACTGTACACAATACTCCAGGTGCAGTCTCAATAATGTCTTGTACAGTTGCAGCAACACTTGCCATTCCTTAAGCAAAAAGTGCCAAAAATGCCTTCCTTATTACCTGCCATACTTGCATACCAGTTTTATAACATGTCAGGGTCCAACTAGGGATCAGGTTAGTTTGGAAATGGTAATGTATATAATGAGACAGATTTAATAAATGATTTCAGAATAAAAGATCCTCTCAGGAATAGAGACCAGAACATGGTAGAATTTAGAATTCAGTTTAACAGTGACAAACCTGGAGTTGGAAACAACTGTGTTAAATATAAATAACAAAAATTACACAGGAAGAGGGTTGAGTTGGCTGGAGTGAACAGGGAAAAGGGAAGTTTAGCAGAAAAGATAGTTGAAAAACAATGGCAGGTGGGAAGAAGGATTCTAGGAAGAGAATAAAACAACCACGGTTAACCAAGAAAGTTAAGGACAGCATGACAGAAAA